TTTTGGATTTTTTTTTATTTTTTTTTTGGATTTTTTTTTATTTTTTTTTTGGATTTTTTTTTTTTTTTTTTTTGGATTTTTTTTTGCTGGGACCTTCCTTGGTCCTTGCACGGGCTGGCCACCTGGGACCTGAGTGGCCCGGCTGGCAGCCTAGCTCTCGAATTCATTTCAAATAAATTCAAACTAGTTTATTCAAAATTAATTGATGTTACCCTACCCTTGAAATTAGTTTATTCAAAATTAATTTCTAATAAATTCAAATTAGTTTTTCACCTTCATCGCTAAATCAATTGATGTTACCCTACCCTTGTAAAGAGGAACTGCCCCCCGGGCATGACACGCACAACCACGAACTCTCAACGCGCAGCGGCCGATGCGGCCTCTGCTGCCGCCGCCTCCACCTCATCTGCTGCTAACTCCTCAGCCGCCGCTACCATCGCTTCCTCCCCCACCATGGCCCAATCATCCAGCATTGATATGTCCGACATCCGCACCGACTCCGTCGACGACATCGCCCGCAACCTTGCAGGCGGGCAAACACCAACACCCGATGCTGCCATTGATCTCGCGACACTCCTCCGCATGGTGACATCCATCCACTCATCCATCGCCGACATTAAAACATCTATCTCCACCATCTCCGCTCACGTGGCCGCCATCGAAAATCAAACCCTCGCCATCCAGATCGTCACCACCACGTCCCCCCCCCCCACCTCGGGTGCCACCACCCTTCCTCCATCCTCCGCCTCCGCATCCACCGCCCTCTCTGCTAGTACGTCTTCCACACCCCCGCCTTCATCCACCACCACCTCCACCATGGTCACCCCACCACCCACAACGACAACCCCCGCCGTCACAGAGTCATCGACCGTTCTGCCCCAGTCAAAACCTGTCTCGACTCCATTTACTATCACTTCCACCCACCCCACCCCACCTATACCGAGATCACTTTCACACCACACGCCCTGTACCCCGCTCTTCCATGCATCCCCCGTCCACAAATCTGTTCGAATATTTATCCTGAATTAGACAACCATCTGGGCTGTCAGATCCTACATCCATCGGAGTCGTTCCACATGCGGTAAATCGGCATGGAGTTTAGCCTCTAGAGTGGCGCGTGACAGGCTGCGCAAGCTCCATACCCTGCTGGTCACTGAGGACCTCGAAAGCGGGCGCTGTAGCCCTCGGCTTCAGCGAACAATAGGGGACTCCTTCCCGGGTTTCCTCACAAACTTTGGCGTCGTTGCCAGGGAGGGGACTGCACCCCCAAGGCCTCGGCCTTCCTTGATCAAACGGGGGTCCACAAGCTAATTAGGAATTGGCTGATTAGCTTGATTAGCTGATTCAAACCTCACTTAGAACCGTACGCGCTACCCACCAATAGAGTGATCAGGTTGTGAAGCAAGGCTACTAATCGAGCCAAGATGTGAGAAAATAAAGGTACCCCATTATTCTTCTGATTGCCAGCGATCCATTTATAGGACAAGTGGCGAAGAGCTGACAGATCTCAGCATGACTGATCACTATGGGTTTCACGGTATTCGTCTTTTACTCAATACCAAATCAGATCGTTTCAACATAGAGTAAAACCCGCCCCTTTGATTGGCCAAATGAGCCCACCTTTGGGCGTCAGCCACAGAAGGACACTTTCTAGCACTCATCATTTCCACCCATTACCCGCAGAAAGCAAGGACCGTTCTTGATTGGCACTGCTCTTGTTTTGCATTCCAAGTCTTCACATATTAAATGGCCAGCTGCCTCTCGACAAAAAACATGCCCGCAAGGGTTGACACTTCTCACATCTTCCCATCGTTCCTATTAGTCTCGGGAACCACGCCTGTGTGGGGCTTAATGATGTCGAAATGTCGTCCGAATGATAATCCCAACGGTCAAATCGCTTATTTTGAAGTCACCTTGATGCATATGGAATCCGATCTTTGATTGTTAGCCTGTGTGAAAACTGGCAACCGTCTGACAACGGCCATATCGAGAAATGGCGAGAAAGTCTTGTGGCTCTAGCCTCTTCTCTCTCTCTCTCTCTGTGCACAGTCTCTCCCTCTTTCTCTGTGTGCACAGTCTCTCCCTCTTTCTCTGTGTACAGTCTCTCCTTCTTTCTCTCTTCCTCTCTCACACACACACTCGCGCACGCGCTATCCCACTCTCATACCCGCTTGATCACGCACACTGCCTTGAGTCCTCTCTGCCTCCTCCTCTCATGCAACCATATTTGAATGCACCTGGACGTGGTCATGGCCGGATACGTGCAGTTTGGAAGCCAACTCACCTTCCTCACCTGTTCACTCTCTCCTGCCATTGTCCTCTCATACACGTTTTCTCTCCCACTACCTCTTCGGTCACTTTTCTCCTACGTGACTCTTTGTCCATTTTCCGTCTCTCTCTGCCCGCATTCCCTCTCTCTCGCTGTCTCTCTCTCCCCGCAGTCCCTCTCGCTCGCTGTCTCTCTCTCACTCATTCTCTCTCACACACTTTATCTCTCTCACACACACACAGCGCAGTACATTCCCTTAAAACAGTTCATTTGTTGTTTCTCATTCGGGGCACACACAGCGCACTCCCTCTCTCTAAAGCAGTGCAACTCTCTCCCACTCAATGCGCTCTCTCTCCCTCAATATGTGCTCTCTCTCTCTCTCTCTCTCTCTCTCTCTCTCTCTCTCTCTCTCTCTCTCTCTCTCTCTCTCTCTCACACACACACACACTGCGCAGTGTCTCTCTCTCACACTGCGCAGTGTCTCTCTCTCACACTGCGCAGTCGCTCTCTCTCACTCTCATACTCATGCTCTCCCCCGCTCACTGCGCTCTCTCTCTCTCACGGCGCAGTCTCTCTCTCACTGCGCAGGCTCTCTCTTTCACACTCTCTCACTCTCTCTCTCACACACTTCCTCATGCATTCACCAGCTCGCTGCCTTCTGCTCTCTCACTTACTTATCGCCTTCCCCCACAAACTGAAGTCTGTCGGCTGCAATCCACTGGCTCGCACGAACGGGCACGAACGGACACCATCCAGAACGCTGTGTACACCCGGCTCGTTGTTCCCCGTTGGCGCCACCCTAGTGGGCTGCGCACACCTTGCACGCCATCGTCTCGCTAATGAGCATCCCCCTCTCGCGTGTCTTCCATGCTTGTTTCTCTTCCGTTCCCCGCGGGCGGCATACGCCATGCGCAGGGGTCCCTTCCCAAAGTCAAAACCCTTGCTTGTATAGCTGCCAGCCGAGCTGGCACCCGAACGGGCAGGCCCATGCTCGAAAAGGAAGCGGTACCGACTACTGGCGCAACACCAACGGCTGCCCCGGTACCAGCTGTTGGCCGAGACTGCAGATCCAGGCCCGGTGTACAGACCTCTGGTCTTGTACCAGTAGGTCCAAAAACAGGTCCAACAACAATTCTTGTGGTGCAGATCCAGGCCTGACACAACCGCCATACCGGCAGTCCCCGCCCGCTGCAGCCCCAGTGTTAATACAGGGTCGTTGGCCGCAGCACAGTCCACCGCAGTCCCGATACCGCAGATGTCCTTGGCCCAGTGGTTCCATCCACACAGTCCGCAGTAATCTGATCCAGGTATGCATCTCCAATCTAGGCTCGACAAGAATGGGTTGTACCTGTTGCAACCGACCATCCAAATGAACCCCACTGTGATCCACACCAAGTACCAATGCTCCATGCCAATGAACCGTACCAAGAAACCACACCGACGAGCCGCATCCGTGAACCGTAGCTAAGGTGGACTGGTGACCGTCGTGGTCCCGGACCAGAGCTCATACCACGACGGTCAAGTGAGGCCCGATGACGACTAGAAAAACCCTCACTTAGAAAAGACCCGTATGAGTAGGTCCATACACCGCAAAATAGTCAATCGCCGCACCCCGCTCTCCACACTTTTAATTATATTAAAATATTCATAATAATAATAATAATAATTGTCACTCACATTCAGGGCAACAGGGGTCATAAGTGGGGTAACAAAATAGCCTAGATTGGGACAAACGTCGGGGGGGGTACATAATCAGGGCAAAAGAGCCGAGATCGCGGGTTTTGAGTTCCTTTTCATCATTAATTATTTCGACCGCGTTCATAAATTTGTTTACACAAATAAAATAAAAAAAATCCTCCCAATTCGGCCACGCAAAACCAGTCGTGCGGAGACCCGTGCACACGTTGGCGGCCGGGTATGGAGGGAATAGAAATAAGAGGAAAATAAGTCGATGGTAGAGGTGTCAAGGGTGGGATAAAATAGTATATTCGTTTGCATAAAAGTAGGGTTAGTGTCAGCGAGAGACGGGTTGAAAAACAGGGTCGACCTAGGTGCCCTGTTTTTTTATCGCTCGTCCATTAACATTAACCCTAAAATTTCTACCGTCTGATCAATCGACTCTTCAAATTGTCCCATTTCGGGTGGCCGACTGACTTTGGCCGCCCGTTAAACAGATTATGGATTCCAGAGAAAAGGGACATCCCCAATTAGCCTTTTTGCTTTATAGAGGTTTTTATAGTTGGACGTTGTAGTTCGTGGCAACTGTCAAAGTCAAACCCCTTGATTTCTCTCTAGGCCCTGGATGATGGAGCTGGTCTTCAGGGCAATAAGAGACGATTGCGACCACAGGTATGAACCTGTGTACCACCCACTCTTCGCAGGGTGCAGAAGAGGGTGTAATTCTCAACCGCACTTGGCGGTTGTCCAGCGTCAAGAGATCAATCCCTCAAGGCGTGTGCCAATCGACACTTGAGTGTCGAATACGACCCTCGAGATTAACGAGGACCGCATGAGTATGGGTACTACATAGTACATCATCATTGCGACTGCTTGCGACTGCTTGCGTATGCTTGCATTGCGAGTCGATATGAGATTAACCCTGCGCCCGCGCGGTTTTATATTAAGTCTCGCGCGCGACGCCCATCCGATTTCCGCATCGAAAAGTTATGGGATGGCTACTAAGGGACTAGGAGTGTTGTCGCGTTGTTTGTCCTGTGTTGTTTTGTATATGTGTGTGTATTTGTGCGTTATTTTTATGTTGTTTAGAGTGGTGTACGCGTGGTGTGTGGGATGCGTCCTAGTCGATCGACGACGAGTCGCGCTTGGGACCTCAGGCCCCCAAGGCGTCAGTTCGCGTGCGGGTCTGATAGAGGCGTAAAGCCATGCGTACCCCCTATACTACAGCGAACGAGAAACGCCCTCGGCTGGTCCACCTCTGCGATCGCAGTTGATTAGCTTCATATTGTGGAATAGTAGCTCGGCGGGGATACGCCCACCGAAGGGAGGTGGAGGTAAGTGGTGCCTCGCGTAGGCCCTATCTTGTCGTAGGGGCTCGCAAGAGGTATGGCTGGCGCACTCGACCGGAGCGGCTTGCGGAAGCTCCATATGTATTTGCAACGAGGATTAAAACCAACTCCTGCGTGACGCGGTCGGGAGGGTTCCGCGCTGCCTTGTGCGGTGCCGGACCGATGCGCTCGACACCGCCGTCACCGCCATCCTCAACGAGGTCAAAGACGTTTTTCTCGAGTCCTTGCCTGCCAGATTACCCCCGGATCGTGTTGTATCTCATACCATTGACCTGGAACCCGGCCACTCTCCGCCGTGCCGCCCTCCATACCAACTCTCCATCCCGGAAGCCGAAGCGCCAACTCAATGAACTCCTTGAAAAAGGATTCATTAAGCCAAACTCCTCCCCCTTCGGTACAAGCTGCCTTTTCGTAAAGAAAGGTGAAAACTCAGAACCAAGGATGTGCACAGACTACCCCGCCTTGAATCGGATCATGATCAAGAACAAGAACCCCCTACCTCAGATCTCCGAGCTTCTTGATCGCCTTCGTGGAGCCAAATATTTTACAAAGATTGACCTCTGCAGTGGCTTCCACCAGATCCGCATCCACGGGGAGGACACCCATAAGACCGCATTTTGCTCTCGCTTTGGGCACTAAGAGTTCCTCATGATGCCCTTCGTACTCACCAACGCCCCGGCCACATTCCAATCCATCATGAATCACATCTTCATCGACCTCCTCGAAGTATGTGTCGCCGTCTACCTTGATGATGCCCTTGTCTATAGCCCCACCTTCGAGTCTCACCTTCAGCACCTTCGCGAAGTCCTCTCCATCCTCAGAGAGCAAAAATTTTACGCCAAGCTCAGCAAATGCACCTTTGCTGCCTCTAACGTAGAATACCTTGACCACATCGTCTCTGCTGAAGGAATCCGCATGGACCCTTCGAAGGTCACCACCCTCGTTGAGTACACCCCCCCCCCAAGACCCTACTAACTACGCTCATTCCAATGCCTTGCCAACTATTACCGTCCCTTCATCCGCAGCTTCTCCGACATCTCTTACCCACTTCACGAACTCATACGCAAGGACGAGCTCTTCAATTGGAACGACCGCCACCAAAACGCCTTCGACTTCCTCAAACAAACCATCACCACGGCCCCCATCCTCAAGATCGTCGACCCCTCTCGACATTTCTACGTGACCATTGACGCATCCGAATTCGCCATTGGAGCCATCCTCTCACAACATTTTCCTCGCGACACCTCCGAAACCCCCTCCATCAAATACTCCCCCACCCACCCCGAGGCTCCACCTGACGAATACCCCATCGCCTTTGCAAGCAAAATGCTCCTTCCCGCGGAGATGAACTACCCCTCCAACGAGAAGGAACTCCTCGCTGTGATTCACACCCTCAAAGTTTGGCACCCGTACCTTGATGGGCAGTACTTCACCATTTGCACCGACAACACCATCGTCTCCTCTATCCTCACTAAGAAAAACATCATGCCACGCCAAGCCCTCTGGTTAGACTTTCTTGCCCAGTTCATGTTCACCATTTGCCACACCCCCGACAAAAGCAACCGCGTTGCCGATGCCCTCTCTCGATGCCCCGACCACAAGCCCTCCGAGAAAGTCCACACCACCATGACTCTTATCCAACTCCTCCCATCACTCCACCACCGCTACACCCACGACGACCTCTCTTGCCCAGATTTCTCAACAATCTACAACAAACTTCCTTACATCGACACCAAAGGCACTCACCGACTTTGCATCCCCGATGCACGTGGCCTCCGTACCCAGCTCTTGGTCGAGCACCACGACACCAAGACTGTGGGACCCCTCGGGTTCCAGAAAACCTTCGACACCATCTCCTGCTACTTCTACTGGCCTTCCGTACTCGCCGACGTCAAAGCTTACATTCGCTCATGCCCCACATGTCAAGCCGTCAACCCTTTGAACAGGTACAAACCCGATAAGTTACAGTCGTTGCCTATTCGCACTCACTGTTGGCAGTCCAACTCTATGGACTTCGTGTGTGGTCTCCCCAAGACTGACCGCGGTCATGACTGCATCTATGTCATTGCTTGTCACTTGACCAAACGCGCGCACTTCATCCCTTGCACTACTTCGCACAATGCCAAAGACGTCGCCACTCTCTTCTTTGATCATGTCGCACGCCATCACGGCCTCCCCGAGAATATCATCAATGACCGTGATCCACGCTTTCTGTCACAATTATGGAAACACCTTTTCAATGCATGCGGAACCACACTCAAGTATAGCACTGCATTCCACCCCCTGACCAATGGACAAACCGAGAAGATGAACGATACTCTCCAAAGAATCCTGCGGAAGTATTGTCATCCACACCAACATGACTGGGATCAGTTGCTCACAGCCGCCGAGATCGCCTATACACCGTTTGCCCTTCCATTGGCATGTCCCCGTTACACCTCCACCTTGGCTACCATTCTCGCTTGCCCGCCATATGTACGTCAAAATACGCTTAAATTTCACTGTATCTGCCACACCCACCATTGCTTATTCAACCAGCTCCAGCCAATTTGAAACTCGTTCGCCCTTGAATAGGAAGGTGTCAACCTTAAGGACATTGCCTCGTCTCACATCCCACCTATCCAAAGCCTCAACCAAATCATCGATTGTCATCCTATTTCCCACACCATCGGCGTCGCCTTCTGCCATATTTACCCAATTCTTGTTTCAACCTTCCTGTCAAGGAAAGGTAACACCATTTAGCATGCCGGTCTGTAATCATACTGACCTTACTTCCTGTTCATTCATACCACATAGGATAACCTTACTGGTACGACAACTTTCTTATCTTAGTCAAAGTTATGCGGGGCTCGGTCTCACTACAAGACTCCATATATATATATATATATATATATATATATACATCTTGCAGGGAACGTAGACTTCGACCATTGCTAGCTCTGTAATAGTCAATCACACAGCCAGTCAAGTCAATAAACGAAGTAAAACATAACAATATCACCTTACCTAGATCGCCATCCTGCCCTTAACCTGGGCACGATCTCCAAGGACCTCAAAGTCTTAAGACACTTCCAATGGATAGTCAAGGCTTTGTATAATCAGCCATATACGTCTAAAGAAAACTTCCCACTTTGCCTGGATCTCAAATGACCAGACCCGAATGTCGTTCCACCAGGGACAACGGTAGGCAACCGTCATCCCCGGCAACAACGCCACCTGTTGCTCCATTCCACTACCATCAATGAAGTAGCGAAACTTCCAAATCAGAAGCAGCCTGTTCAACATATGGCAACAACAATTTTTCCTTCAACGACTCCAATAATCTGAAGTCAAACCAGCCCTAACCTACACTTCTCCTTATAGCAAAACACAACAACACCGAACAACAACCATCGATGTATATGCAGGTACCGATCATGCAGATTGCTTCCATAAGCAGGTATGTGCCCCTTTCCTCTGTAGCATCTGATCTACTCCCCAACTCCAAGAACTCGATTCCACTGCTTCAAACGAAAGCTTCCCATACAACAATCATTGTACCTGGCCAAATCCACGACGAGGTTCATACGACCCAAACCCGATGCAGAGCGGTTCGATCCAGCAAACGGGTGCACTCGCCTCCCTTGGGCTAAACAGTTACCGCTGACAAAGAAGACCTCCGAAGCTTGAGGGAGACAATCGCGCGATGACAACGGAGCCCCGACTTAGCGCAACTAAAACAGGCGACAACCAGGAGGGTGAAAAACTCGGCATTATGGGGCGAGGGTGATTGCGGTTGCAGTAGCGAAATCGCGATCGCAGCTAACCAGTCCAACAAAGGAGGGCGATGGCCTAACTTCATCGACACAGTGAACAAAATCGAAAGAGATCTTCTGCTAGAAGACGGAAGATACATTGCTTTCTGGCCATTCACGTAGAAGGATAGGGGAAGGTTACTCCCCTCAATAGGGTGAGCAACGCATCATCGAACTTGTAAGTCACCAACCCCATGCTTCGCCTCTCACTACCTTCTTCGTTAGAATGAGCAAAAACCAGAATGAACCTACTGTTGAAACGGGGACCAATACATCCCATTTAGCTGCTTTTTCCCTTTACGCACCTATCGTACTGCCGCTTTCGCTCGTCCTCATTCAAACCCGGCTGCACCGTTCTCTTTGTCTAACTTAGGGACTCCCACTCTACATCTTACTTCGCTCGAATCTACTAGGAACTGAGCGGGATTCACAACTTTTACTCCTACGCTTCCTTCCCTGCCATACCCGAGTCTCTCTCGGTACCTTTCCCTCGTCCCCATCTCCCGCACGACTCCTTCCCTCTCTATCTTCTATAGCACTTACCTTTCACTAAAACTACTCTCGAATTCGGATCTGCCCGGGGCTAAAACCCCAAAAACGACCTTTACTCTGACCGATTTCGTTAAGAATCGGGGTAACAACATCGAATCTGCTCCGCCCAGCTCTCGCTCACCGTTGCCATCACCCTTCCTCCGTTGTGAGTGTCCCTGGCGCGGAACTACATCCACATTCATCCCCCTTCAAACTTCTCTCTATCAATCTTTTAGCAGGGCGCTCGTCCTCTCTTTTCCTCAACCCTACAGTTCCTAACGTAGTAGCCCTGCTCGACACTACTCCCATTGAGTGCACAATGCACCTCCCACAACTATGTTACTCTACTATCATCAATATGACGGGCAACACATCGGCCAAAATGGTAAGTTTCCCACGTCGCGGCAACTTGACAGATCCGACGAAGCAACCTGTTCGTCAATATTGGTTGCGGCCTCCGCTACAACCCCTTGGCCTTTCGTCGGTGCCACCCTGTGCTCCAGCCCATACACCCCAAGGGGTGTCGATCAATACAGACAGCAGGTTGATGGTCACAAAGGTCAAACCTCGTTGATGAATGCGACCGACTTCCCGCTGTCGCGGCCATTCCGACCCTTCGAGGACCGGGAGGGCGCCGGTCCGTTGCGACCCTTGAAACGTGGGCCTGGGTGAGACGGGCTCGGTGCAAATCTTGGTGGTGGTAGCAAATATCCAAGTGGAGACTTTGAGGACCGAAGTGGAGAAAGTTCCAGGTGACCCGCAGCTTGCCGCAGCGTTTGCTGCGGTCTCTCTATAGTGTTTCGGGCAACCACCACCATTTGGGCCCCTCCGCCATGCTCACCCTCAAACTTCTCATAGCAGGTCGCGACCGGCAGCCGTGCACCAGCAAAGGCACACGCTATTCAGGCACTTCCGCTGTGAGGGTTAATCACCCACTGGTTTTGCATGCGCGTTTGACCACCATCGTCCCGATGTCGCGCCTGGCAACAAAAATAAAAATAATAATAAGGATAAAACATCAATCAAAAAGGGATTAACGGCAGAACCACACGGCGAGGAAAAGAAAAACCAAAGAAACGCTAATGTCGCCTTGGTCCCGCTGAGCTCTTCTGCGGACAGTAAAACCGTGGGAGATAGCCTCTCTGGGCCCTCCACATCCAAGGCGAAAGGTGTCGGGGACCACCCGCAGGGCTAAATGTCGGGGCCGCCGGTGGGACTAAGTGTCGGGGACCGTCGGTGGGACTAAGTGCCGGGGATCGCCGGTGGGACTAAGTGTCGGGGACCTCCGGTGGGACTAACTGTCGGGGACCACCGCCGGGACGGATGGCGTGGACATGTGAAAGTCCCAAGAAGAAACGTCGGCACCGCATGAGGGAAAATAATAAATGCAAGGTGCACCGTCAAAATCGAGATCTTGACGGCCAAGAATATGAGCACCACTAGTGCAAGCACTAGCGGTAGCAAACGGGAAGGTCAAAAAGGAAAAGAAAAAGTGAAGAAACTTGAAGTGGGAGGCATGGGAGCAATCTGAAAAATCTCGGATCAGCCTCCCTCAAGAAAATAGAGTCAAAAGAAACCCCATGTGAAAAATAGGCCTCCGGGAGAAAATCGGAGTAAGAGGGGCCACTGTGGGAGAAAAATAGGAGTAAAAGAAAGCTCCCATGGGCATGAGAAGGCCATTATTGCAGTCCGAGATATAACGGACTGCACCTTGGGCATAGGAAGAGCCAAAACTAAGAGGGAGGGGCTAGAAAAGGGCCTTAACGACCACTTGACACTTGGCATGCTTGAAAAAAAAGAGAAAACGAAAGAAAATGTGGGAGAATAAGACAAGAAGAGTGAGAGGGAGTGAGTGAGTTGGCCGTCAGTAGGGACTGCCAGGTCCCTATTGTTCAAAAAAAGGAGGGAAAAAAA